GTAGACATGGTGTAACATTGGTTTTGCTTTGTTTCACAGAACTAATCGTTGCCTGGGTTGCTACGTATATGTGGGGCGGAGCTATCAAAATAGGGGCAAGACCCTTTTGGGGTAGGGGCGTGTTTGTTTTGGTGATTTCAAATATCAACATTGGCTACCAGAAATCACTTACTCTGCCTTTAAAGTGGATGGACAGGAATCCAGTGTGAGCACAATCTTTTTAGATAGGGCAAAAAGCTGAGTGTTTCAGTGAGACATTAGTTATACATAGCAGCAATTACTTGTAAAGATAATAAAATGCAGACCACACCTTACGCTGAATGTCTTAGGGCTGGTTCACACTTCCCCACCAAACACCAACAACTCAAACAATGTAAAGATGTCTGTTGGATTTATGTTAAGAAACAACTGCCATGTTCACACTGACCCAACAAACACCAACATGGTCAAATAAAAGCCACACAGACTGCTCTTTGATACAGAAGGCACTATCAAAAATGTGAACGTTCTACTTTATAGTTTTACCTGATTTTCTTTGTACAGGCTGTGAAATCCAGTAAGTTTATGGCTTATGATTATGGAAAATCTGGAAATATGGCACATTATAATCAGGTAACATTGAGGACTTGACTATTTCTGCCCTTAAAGGGACCCAAAAATGTCATTTACTCACCCTCATGTCTATATAAATTTCTTTCTTCTGCTGAACACAAAACAGCTCTAACCCTAACCAAACAGCTTCGGTTTCCAGTTCTAGTTACCAACGTTCTTCAAAACACTCGATCCTCATTTGTGTTCCTCATAAGAGACAGTCATACAGGTTTGGAAATGACATGAGGATGTGTAAATGATGACAGAATTTCACTTTAAGCTATTTTCACCACTAACTATACAATTAATTTGCCTATCCAGAGGATTTTTGAAATAATGTAGACTCTTGTGAGGATGAATGTGTCATGTTTGCTGTCACTCTGAGTCAGCAGTGAAACTGACCAGTGCTTGAAGTATTAAAGTCTCTTCCTGCGTCTCCCCTATCAGTCGCCCCCTCCCCTGTACAACGTGCGGGACATGACAGTACCCACAGCCTTGTGGTCTGGTGGGCAAGACACTCTGGCAGATCCTCAGGACGTGGCTCTACTGCTTACACAGATACCTAAATTGGTGTACCACCGCAACATTAAGCACTGGGAGCACCTGGACTTCATCTAGGGTTTGGATGCCCCACAAGAGATGTACAACAAAATGATCGAAATGATGAGGGAGAATGTGTGAAGAGACATTTTGATTGAGCAGTAGGTTCTATCAGCAGTTTTTTTTTAAACATTCCTTGAGCTTGAACTAATACTTTTGTACCTCTTTGTTTGTTCTTTCTGTAAGCAGATGAACCCATTTGTTTGAGGTGCTGTTAACCAAATCAGCAATTTGCGAATGTAAATTTGATATTACAAACTGATTTAAGCCTTCGGGCCATCACCCAGAGACCAGAGTTTTACACTCATGATCAGGTGTTGCCTTTTAAGGACATGCACTTGTTTAATGTGTTTTTTTAACTAGCTTTTACTAACAACTACATCTACAAACTCACTATACCGTAGCATTTCATGGAGTGTCTTAAGGTTTTGTCACATAATGGATGGATTTTGTAAAAACATGACTTGAAATAAACATACATTGGTGCAGAAGAAGTGTATACAAAAAGTAACTTGGCTTGGTGAGAGATTTTACATTTAAACCAACAACTTTACTCAAACCAAATCCATATGAAATCTTGTAGTGATAAAAACAAACTTTAACACTTTAAAACAAACTGAATATACATATATACTACATTAAATGATCAATAAACATAAGAAAATCAACAATACAAATAGGAGTAATCAAATAAAAAACTAAATCAAATATGCTTAAATACATCTTTCATCTGAGAAAATGTATTTTTATAACATTAAGTGTAACAATGTGCGGTGCAAAAAGTGTAAAAAACTGTGACAATTTGTGAAAACCCATCTAAAATTCAGATGGTGAATTGTAAAGGACCCCACACTGCTGCTGCTGCACATGAAACGTCTCTTCTCTCATGTCCTCCATTAATACTCACATTGATTTTGTTAACATTGTAACAATTTTGTGGAATTGTAGTCTCTTTGCAATATCTAGCGAGGTTTCATGATTCTGTAAAGAAGACAGAAACAACATGTCAAACTATTAATAGAGTCATACAATGTGTATATACCAATATATATTTAGCACACCACTTTGAGAGAGTAAACGGAAAACAAAATGTTTCACAAGATCAACACCAGTCTCAAATCCTGTCACTCTCAGCAAATGTAATTTCTCCAAAACACTTTAATACTTTCGGTCACATTTAACATTCACTTACCAAGTTTTCAGTTGACATTAAGAGAGTGATTTGCTGCTAAAAACAGTACAACACCTCTATGTCACCTGTCACTACTTTATTAATTTTTTCCTTATCTACCATGTAGATTAAATAGTTTACATCTTTTAAAAGTTACTTCACTAAATAAGACTGTAAGGTTACAGATCCCTATATAGCAGTTTCTGTTCAAATAATTGCTATAAATAATTTACCTACTTTATTCTGTACTGAAACATCTGCATCTTTCTCCAATAACAATGGAATGATCCTTTGACTTTTTCTTTGGCACGCATAGTGAAGTCCAGTGTTCCCCTTCTGAAAAAAGCAAAGATGCACAAATTATACCATGAACATCCTTTGCATGATCATTATCTCTTAATTACCTAATTTCTCACTAGAATTTTTTTTTTACAAAACATGTGTGTTCTACTTACATAGTCTACAGCATTTACTTCTACCTTAGTGGCCAACAGAAGCTCCATCAATTTCACACTTTTTCTTTGCTTCTCTTCCTTTTGAGAGATAAAAAGGGCAATGCTTTAATATTGTATAATTAAACATATTTAGGATAGTCATAAATTAAAGTCAGATTACATATGTGATGGACAAGAACGCCCTTAAAACATAAAACACTTTCTATTCCTGTACACTAATCTCAGGGAAATTCCTGATCTCACACAACAGGTTAAGATTAATATTCAATTTTAGTCTCTTTTTTCAGACAGTTACTAGTCTCTTCCAGAAATGCCATGACTGAGAGATAACCTACCATTATAAGATAACCAATTAACAAGATAGGCATTAAAATGGCAATCATCAGGTAGTCCAGGAAGGAAAATGTTCTTCTTGTAGCGTAGTGCAAACAAGTCCTTTCTTTCTAAAGGAAGAATGTACACATAGATATGTTTAAATAAGCAAGCTGACCACACAAAATAAACAATCATCAATAAAATTTACCACAGGGTGAGTCAGAAAAACAACATGCATTAAAATAAATCACTGAGCTTTAGACTCACTCATAACAATACAACGACAGCATTACGATAACCAGGATTCAAACAGGACTATTTTCAGGCTCCTCACTTATGCAATACCTTATTTCTAATAGACACATTTGCATTGCAATCTAGAAGGTATTTGACAGTCCTGAGGTTTCCTTGTCTACAGGCGGCTATGATCGGTGTGTCTCCTGTTCCTTCATCTTGAACATTTACATTTCTGGGATCGGCTGAGATCAGTTTTTGCAACTTGTGGATGTCATCGTCATAAGCTGCCTGACACATAGGCTAAGGAAAGAAAGCAGCACAAAATATGATTTGAAAAATGTACATGAAACAATTAATTATTTTATATCTAGTACATTTAATAAAAATAAGATACTAAAGAATAATTAAAGAGGCAGGCGATTTTAGAAACATGGCTTGATATCAGATAGGTTGAAGAGCAAAACAGGCCTGGTGACATCCCAAGCATGACAGATAACTTTACACATAAACACACCCTTTCCATATACAAAATTACAGCTAAAATAACAAAAGTTACATTTTATTTACATAAACACTGTACATAAATGTCTTTAAGCAGTGCTGTATTTTTCCTTTTCATATAGAAGTAAGCTATATTATGTCTTTCAATGTCTGAAGATAGAAGTTAACACAGTAGTGCCATAACAAAAAAATAAAACAATTCAAAAAAAGATGATTCTCTGGGACAACGTCAAACAATGTGTCGTGTGTTATCTGTGAAAACTCTTGAGAAGAGGACAGTTATTTGGCACTGGCATGTCTCCAAAGTTAAAATAAGCATGATATAAGTTATGTTGACACACAACTGAGGTACGAAGAACAAAAATTTGTTAGAGATTAAATCGCCTTAATTTAGCATAACACGATCAGTCGATTCTCGTCATCATCATCAGTTACATGAGCCAGGTCAGTTGTTTTCTAAAGAAAGGAAATTCAAGACACGTTTCAAAGGAGTTACTCACCTCTGAGTACAAGATCCCCATTTGGCTTCCTCTGTCCCTAGAAGGAAACTAAATTAAACTTGTAAATACTTAATGCGGACTCTGAGATTATAAAACGAACAGCCCTTTGCTAACTTGTTTGCTTTCTACCTCGCGAACTGCGCTTCAGATAAGGGTGTGGTCATGTAACAATGACGCATACGTCAGGACGCAATCAGTGCCGTTCAGGTGTGTAGCGGTGGATTGAATTCCCGTCCATTAAAGGTGGGGTAAGTGCAGGGCCGGAGTGGGACTCATTTTCAGCCTTGGAGTTTCATGCCTTAGACCGGCCCACTTATTTATTTTTATTTTTTTTATTTGTTTACTGGCCTTTTCAGTGCCGCCTTTGCGCTTCCTATTATCCATTTTTCATCTATTATTATTTATTTTTTTTAGCAAGGTGCTGCTGTCAGGGGAGTCAAAAGATAATTAGTCATCATTAGGGTTGCCAATTAACTTCAGAAATGGAAAATAAGGGACGATTGTGATTCTTTATCTTTTATTCTTTAAGAAAATAGTGTTTCTTTTTGTATTCTTGTAGAAAATAAGTGTTTGTTTTTTAAGAAAATAAGGGACAGAATAAAGGACACTCGCTCATGATCAATAAGTTGTTTGCATTCGCCCAAACTGAATCAAAAAGCGGATGGTGAAGGGAACTGCCGTCAGCGAGAGACCCACTCGCTGCGAAGCGGTAGCCGGCAGTGCAGGCAGTCTAGGGACAGCATCACTGATCTATATATAATATCTATTATAGACCAGTGGACAGCATCCATATTTCAACCCCAGTGGCATGACAACACCACGGCCTTCATGGCCAAAAAAACGGACCCGCCCACCCGGAATCCTCCTGGTGCTCCCGATTAGCCAATCTGGGCCTGGGTAAGTGATTTCTGGTAGCCTATGTTGATTTCAACACCGTGTCTACACCGGACGCGAGCGGCGCGACAAAATACTATAGAACTCATTATAATCAGTGATGCTGTCTACGCTGGATGTGGCGCGGCATGACATGACAAATCCCTGACAGAAAACTGCTGCTGCTGCTGCTGAGTTCTATTTATGACATATTGACACAAATTTCAAATGATTTTCATCAGTCGCTTTGTCGCGTCCAGTGTAGACAGACTTTAGCTGTTGGCTTGGCGCGACAACTGTCGCGTCCAGTGTCGGCTCGGCTAATGTCCGTCCTGTACACTGAGCACTCTCTCCTCTGCATCATGAGTAGACACGCCCCTTACTGCTGATTGGCTACAAGTTTGTTTTGGTACTCGGCCGACTCAGTTTTCTAAAGCGTTTTTGAAAAATACCCCACCTTTAAGAAACACTCATTTCCTCTCAACACAGGCTAGAATAGACTAACTGGCCGGGTTAAACAGGTATGATGTAAACAGTTTCCCAAGTAGAGCCAATAACGAACGAACGAACAACACTCACTCATGCACTTACTCACTCACACACACACACAAATAAATAAATAAATGCAGTTCACAAATATACAGTTTTAATAGCTGTTCTGTAATTACACATCATTATAATAGCATCCACATCGTTTCCAGTTTCTTTGAGAACCACAATTAACCAGTCAAAGGGATCTGATTGTACTTTTCTAACGAGGTCTGACACTGTCTGTAAATTAGTTTTTTTTTTTTTTTTTAATAAGTTTTTTTTATTTTTTTTATGCAGTTGCCTACTGTCTGTGAATACTGAGGGATGTGTAACAAACATATTTTTATCTGGTATAGGCTACTGCAGTAGCCCGCCTCCACCCTTATTTAGAGAACATTAGTAATACTAAAATATAATTTTGAAATTTAAAATTGTGATAATAGTATTTTTTTTAACTACTTGAAAAACTTTCTCATTAATTTACCAGTAAAATATTGTCTTTCTGCTCATCTCAACAATAGCAGAAAGAGACACGGGAGAGAGCGCCACCCCACTCACAGCGCTAGTTCACACTGATGGGTGCTTGAGTTGAGATTAACCACGACAAAATTAAGCGAAGCGGCCATAATATGTAGGTCAAACACTAATGTATTTTAGAAATAATCCCCTCCCAAAACCCCGCATCTGCTCATAAGAAACTTTCCGAGAAAAAAAAAAACAAGCTCAAATAATTTGCAGACATTGCAGCACTGTCTGTTATGATTTACAGAATCATATTTACTCAACTGTGGCAGAAACGGGCTTCGATTGTTTAGATGTAGCCTATGTTTATTATTTTAAGAGATTTTATTTGTCAGTAGTCCTGTTAGGCAGATGTGATTTGTCGATTCGGAGGAGTTGTGCCCTCATCTGGTGGATAAAAATAGCCTACAAACAATGTCAGTATTTATTTTTCTGGCGTAACATTTCACAAAATAAATGAAAACAGTTCGAGAGGAACGTGTTAGGCTTCACTGTCTTTAGAATGTGAATAGACTCTGTAAATGTGCTTAAAAATCATGTAATGTCTGAGAGTGTCTATCTGTTTATCCAAGTAAAAGCTTGTATGTCATGATATGCATCTACCTTTACAGACGTACAGTCATTCCCACCCCCTTTAGCTGTCACACTGGTTGCGGCTCAAATCTAGTGAACAAGACAGCGTTTGGGCATCATAGAAGAATCCAGAGAATCCGGATGCTGACTAGATAGGCGGCTCGTGAGGTTTTGAAACACAGCCAGAAAAAGCACCGCTGCTATAGCAGCATTCATCTGACATCGCAGGGTTATTCGCTCTGAAAGACAGCAATCAGCCATTTTAGCTTTGCGCGTATATCCATGCCAAAAGAACAAAGCTTCCATGAGGCACAAAGGCAAAAGACCGAGAGTTTTAGACAATAATACAAAACCGGCCCTTTTATTTACGCGAGTTGCCTGTTTTCGAGCTGAATTCTAGCATGTGCCACATGTGACGATTGTAGGAATGTGGAGCATGGGATCACAACAGCCCTTCAACTACAGGTGAGGATTTTATTGTATTTATACATTTCATTTTGTGGTAATAAATTAGGCCTATGATTATTACTGGTTTTATTTCTAAACAATTTTTAAATGAATGTTTAAATGGAATTGTTGCAATCTTTTCAGGTGGGAAATGTATTGAACACTGTCCTGATCATTGTGACTGGTTTACTGATAAAGTAATATTATTTGTATGAACTGTGTGATTATAATGATCATATCTGTGCTGTAGATTTTGGCCTGACGTCTTAATGTTGACTGTTTATTGGAGGAGCTCCAAGTTTGAGCACTTTAGATGCTCATCATCATATAAAATGCATTTGTATCATACGTTTATAGTGACTGAAAATGTACGTATTTATGAGGACAATTCATGAATCAGAGGAGACTGGAAAGTATAAAGAAAGTTACTTTAGTGTAATATTACATATACCCACATTACTCACTATTTAAATAATGTTTTTAATTACAAATAAATATACAGTATATTATATTAGAGCCTGTTTTATTCATGTGCTGGGCAGGAATGAGTCCTTCATGAACTTTGACATCATACATTTCAGGCATATTAATAGCAATTGCTAGCTAGACAAACCTAGTACATACATATAGTAGAAACAGTAGTCATCATGTTAATCATTTAATCGTGAGACACAGTCATAGAGATTGTATTTTTACCTAACACAAACATGTTTGCAGATGTGGACTGCGGTTTGATTGACTTCAAATATGTTGAAGAACCACTCATCCCTCCTTGAAAATGCTTGTGTTTTTACTGTATGAACCCTCTTTAGACTTCAGCAGAACACCATAATAAATTAGTATTTTGGAGGGCTATTATTTCAGTCTATAACACATACCATTATAATAATACTTTTTTTTTCTTAAAAAAAAGTTTTTTTTTTGTGACGCTTAAAATCCTTTTGCAAGTATTGTTAGAGACATGTGAATCCAGACAGTTGCTTGAGTCATTATGTACTACTGAATCATTATCTGCTTTTTTTAATGAGTAAATGTGAAATTGCTAAAATATTTTGAACATTAATATACACATCATATATTATATGCATATAATCTAGATTTATAATATATTTTCTTAACTAATCAAATGCAAATTTACATTATGCAAGGCCCTAATTATCAGAGATTGCTCAGTGTTAAATCTGTCACATCTCCTTTACACTGCTCTCTTATTTTAACAGTGCATCTACTTTAAATTGCCATGGAATCGGTATTCAGAATATAATCTTCTGTGGTGGTGGTGGTGGTGGTACTTTTCCATTTGTTAATTTGCAATTTGCTGTACAGCTTTCAAATAGTAAAAAAGAAAGAAACAGTGCAATATGTACCCAGCTTTGTGCAAAATGAAAAAGCTCACTAAGGTTTTTTTTTTCACAGCTGAAGATATCCATGAGTCACCGTATTTTGCTGCATGGTAACAAGCTGTCATAGCAACTGTAGCACAGATTCTGGAACGAATAACCGTGTTATTTGGACAGAGATGCTGAATTATATTTGATAATCCCCATGGAAATGCACAGGGCATGGTAACCGTGTTAATAGATTAGGAAGAATACGCTAGGAATTCTACAGCGTAGAGTTGTAGCCTAAGATAGTGTTGAGTAACTGAAAAGAAAGGCTGTATCGACCCAGTGGCCTCTTAATAGAACTGCTGTGATGCCAGATATGATGTTTCTTGCTCCTCAGCTTGGAATCATCTTGGGAGATGACAGATGGATGCATAGGGAGGATCGAAGCCTGCCAGCCAGCGTTGTAAACTCACCATGGACCAGGGCTTCAGTTTCAGCACACTGGTGAGTGGCGTTGTGGGAGGAGGAGGAGGAGGGTGGTGGGGGACAGCTGATATTACTCGGAGGTGGGTCACAGGGACAGAAAGGCTTCCTCTGACTCACTCCCATTAGTATTCCCATTGCAGCTGCTCCGTCATTCAGATCCCTCCATCCTGGAGTGGGCGAGAGGGAAGTAACGGATGTAGCCCCCTTCACACTTTGTTTCCCCTCTTTGTGAATGCATGCTCAAACATAGTCTTCTTATTCTGGCCACCCAGAGTGCTATTCTCCAACAATAGTACAGAGACTTTTAATTTGTTTTTTTTCACAACATTCACAGATTTGTGTGCATGTGCTGTTCAAAAGTCAAGCAATCTGTCATGTCCAACAAGTGTAACAGCTCGGCAGGCCCTTATGGAGTCCATCAGTGTCCT